AAGCTGTAACATGTCTCTAGAACAGACATAAGGCAAAATAATCACTAAGTAAAGGTGTAACAAAATGTCTCTAAAATAGACATATATGGCAGAAAAAATAAAACAAAAATCCTGTGTTTTTTTTTGCCATGCATTGGTCATAGAGCTCTTTGTGGCGTTGCCTCAGATGTTGAACTAGATTTGTTGTGCCAAGTTCACACGTACTCTGTCTGCAGAGCGTATACAGTATGTGTAAGCGGTGCAGAAGCAGCACGGACTCATTTTGCTTTCGCACAGGACGCGTTTGCAGTCCGCTCCTGATCCACGGCTGTTTACCACAAACACAACATTTATCCATTATTTTGATTTCAAATCCAAACGTTGTTTCTGAAAATGCTTTTTCAGCATTGTGATTCTCTTTTATCACAGTACAGTAATATTTTATATACACAAATCTTTCATAGGCATATTCATGTTTAAACTCAATAAATCTTCTTCATCTATTGTTGCCTTGTTTATCTAAAAGTGCACTTTTCCTTGTTTTAAATCTAGCCAAAAAAACATGTGTTGACTGTGAAACAGTAGACTTAAATTATATGCATTTATGGTGTAATTACTAAATATCCGTGTCAATCCATGTTAATTTTTACAGCGAATAATGCGCTGTCACTTTATTTCAGCGCGTGAAGCACAGCAGAAATAGACTCCGTGCGGAAACGATCGCAGCATGACTGCTGCAGACGCACTGCTCCTGGAGCACACTGCCGGACCGCAATCGCGTGCAGTGTGAACGCTCTGATCCGTTAACATGGGCGCGGAAAAAATACGCACCACAGACGGAGTGTGTGAACCTGGCTTGCCATTCTGGTTTTTTTTTCATTTAGGCGCGCTGCATTCTGATTGGTTCAGATAGCATACTGCGGGAGGTCGGGGGAGCGGAAAATCGTACTGTAAAGCGATTTAGAAATCGCGCAAGCTCAAATCGCGATTTTATGATGATTTCGATTAATCGCACAGCCCTAATGCGGAGAAGACGAATTGTTGAATAAAGTATTTTTTTTTTCTTTTGCGCACAAAAAGTATTCTCGTAGCTTCGTAAAATTATGGTTGAACCCCTGATATCACAAGGATTATTTTAACGATCTCCTTGCTACGTCTCTGGACCTTGAACGAGTTAAGGCCCGTTCACATCAAGAATGATAAATATAAAGATAACTATAAAGATAACGATATTAGCATCCACACCAACGAACAATATTGTCTGTTTATTCTAAGCATACATGCTTCTGTTGCTTTAAATTCTCAAGCTCGTGACAGCAGGATTGATTCTGATTGGCTGTCAATGTTTGCATCATTCTGATGCAAGTGATTCTAACGATATCGTTTCTCTGTGCCTTTATCGTTATAGCTGTGGTGTGGACTCTGCTATTATTTAAAATTGAGATTTTTTTTTAGAACTATCTCTTTATCGTTATCTTTATAGTTATCCTGCTTGGTGTGAACAGGCCTTAAGGATCCTTGCTATCTATGGGAGGGTCAGAGAGCTCTCAGATTCCATCAAAAATATCTTAATTTGTGTTCCGAAGATGAACGAGGGTCTTACGGGTTAGGAACAACATGAGGTTGAGTAATTAATGACAGAATTTTCATTTTTGGGTGAAATATCCCTTTAAGACTTAGGTTACAATGGTTTCACATTAGGGTACATAACGCTCAAGAGAACTAGCAAACTAAAGCAGCTTATTTGCTCTACTATGAAGAGAGCTTCCTATTAATAAATCCCTAAAATAGACCTGCTGACACAAGCTCTCACACTTGTGACTATGTACCAATGCCAAACAACAACAGTGAATCATTATTTTTCATCCAAACAAACTGACAACTGGTTTCCTACTAAATCAGTGTTTTAACAGTTGCGGAAATGTGTGAGTCATAAGGGCCACATACACACTGCAGCTAAATACGGGTGTCACTCCTATTTTGGGTGCTTAATTATGTTTTATACACAAAGGTCACACTTACATTTTAGGAGTGACAACCACATTTCAACAATTATCATTGTGTGTGTGTGTATGGAAAACAAAAGTCTTTCAGAAAAGCTTGTTGGCTCCATATTGTAATTGTAGGTTTAGCTATTTTTGATTTTAAAAAAATATATACAACTGTTCAAATGCTTGGGGTCAGTATGAAAGAAAAAAAAATATTCAGGAAATACACATTTAATTTAACAAAAGTGACAGTAAAGATTTCTATTTAAAAAAATATGCTGCTCTTTTGAACCTCATGTTTGTCAAAGAACCATGAAAAATGTATGTATTAGGAAGCACAACTGTTTTCAACACTGAAAACATCAAATCAACATATTAGCGTGATTTCTAAAGGATCGTGTGACACTGAAGACTGGAGTAATGGGTGCTGAAAATTCAGCTTTACCATCACAGAAATAAACTACATTATAAAATATATTCAGATATAAAGCCATTGTAATCGTTTTATTTCATGTTTAATTTCAAAAGCAGCCTTTGATGTGAATAAGAGAAGAAAATAATATCTACCGACATTTGTACATATTAACATCCCATTTAATAACAACCATCAGACCATAATATATTTACAGCCGTGAGCTGAATTGTTGAATTAATAAATGTAAACAAACAAGTATAGATTATATGAAGCACGTTTCACTTGAGGCTGATTGATACAACAGAAACCTTTAATTAAAAAGATCCCAAACATTTACAATGTCTGAACCAGCATACCCTAATGTGCAGTGAGTGACGGTGATGTGAAAAGAATTTTAATTATTAAGCAGATGGGAGAAGCTTGTCACAGGTAAACAGTCTTTCTTGAACTCTCTGATGCTGACAGTACACCAAAACACAGTAATTGGAGACTGTGGGTGTGACCAGTAGAGCAGAGTTCCCTTAAGGACAGTCAGCATGCAGCTCTTTGAACACAGACAGTGGCTGTACTATCTGCAGATGCATCATTACTCTAACTGCCACAGATGATCGGGAGCCAGCAGCTCTACCTACAGAGGCAGCATTTTAAGGCATCATAGGCACACTTCCAATTAAAATGCCGTACCAAATAGGTAGGCAACATGACGATGCCTTTTAAGATACCTTCTTTAGGCCAAGCATCACATGTACCCTTCAAAGATGGTACAGTAGATGAACCAAGGGAAATGTAAAATACACATATTTAATCTATTCAATGAAAAATTAGTGATGCACCGCAATAAAAATTCTTAATGAAGCTAAACCAAAACTGAAACTGACAAAACAAGCTGTAATTTAAGAACTTTTAGTAAATCTGAATGTAATAATTTGCCTATAAACACTTTGTCCACAATTTTGACTGCTTTTGAACTAAATTTCCATCCCTGGCCTGAAACTACTTTTAACATAATAGTTCTGTGGTCCATGACACTGTGGTCCATTTTATTCAGAGTTCTTGACAGTCTCGATGCCACATTATATTATTGAGTTAACATTACAGGCTTAGAGATTATTTTAATATCACTCTGCTAAGCGGCTTATTTTTTTAAAACATAAATTGTAAGGACAAAGTGGGACAGATCTTCTGACCATTCTATCATACACAAAGACAATGATGCTTTTAATGAGAAGACTGTTCAAAAGCTGTTTTAATCAAATGATACTGACCAGTTTTAGACAACAATCAGCATATTAATGCAATACTTTAATCACATAATTAAATTATTTCATAATTTATCCTTTTTATGTTAAAATATGGTTAACGAAACTTTGGTTCTTGGGTCATGAGCGACAGCTTGTAAAAGCAGTTTATGGTTCACAAATAATACCTACTTAAACATACCAAAAAATGTAAACTTCAGGATCTACAGAGCCAGGAGTCAAAAGTAAAATTACAGTAATGATTCTGGACTACAAAAATACTAAGCAGCACAACTATTTTTAATATTGCACATTAGAATAATTTCTAAAGGATCTTGTGATACTGCATATTAGAGTAATGGCTGTTTTTTTTTTTTTGTTAAATTGCAATAGTATTTCACAATATTAATGTATTTTAGATTAAATAAATCCAGCATTGGTGAGCATAAGAGACTTCCTTCAAAAACATTTTTAAAAATCGTACCATTCCTTAAACATCTGTGATAGTATATGTAATATGGTGCAAATTAACCTGCTGGCAAAGCAAGCAATTCAGCTCACCAGTGTTTTGCTCTTCCAGCACAAGCAGATCAATCCTCAACATACTGGGTTATTTGAATCAATTTTCCCTACTTTTTTTTTTGGTGCATAATATCTTGCAGTGTTTTTTTTCCCATCAACCATATGTTTTAATTAAAACAATTTAATTGCATATTTTTTAAATAGTATTTATTACCACTGGTGCAATAAAAAACCATCATCAATAAACATGTCACAAATTTCATTGAAGACATTAACGCTGTTAGAAATCAACGTCTAACAGCTGAAAAGCAGCATGAAAATCCTCCTATAACAGTCACACAGTCTCAGTGTCTGCATTTTAGCAGTCATGTTTCTAGAGCATTACAACAGGCAGAGCAGTGAATCCACCCGTCGACAACCAGTTCCAACAGGAAGCAATCAATGCATATAGAAAGAAACCACTCGACATGCAACCCTAACAAAATAAAAATACAGCAAGCACTTTAAAATCAATAAGACCAACAGGAACATATACAGAAGAGAGGTCAACTGAAATGGAGGATTCTGCTGTCTTTGGGGTGGGTAGCTGCAGTGCTGTTCACTGGAATGGGAAGCAGGAAGATTATGTGGAAAGAGAAACAGAGGACTTCATGCCATGCATTTTCCTCAAGACTGCAAATTACCTGAATGGGTCTGAATCCTCCCTTGAATATTGAAGCAGGAAAGAGAGAGAAGCTAATGGGATAATGCACTAATTGGTATGGAGGGATAGAGAGAGACTAACACACACACTTAAGGAGAGATCTGCAGTACAGAGCATGCAAAGAGCGTTTCCTTCAGGGAAAGCCATTTGCAAAACAAGAGGGCACTATGCTCTGCTTTTCGGGTAGCCAAGTGACCTCATCTTTATGTGGAAACGCACAAGAAACGGGACCTGATATCCGCTAACCCTCACAGACGCTCACAATAAACTGATAAAACAAGATGGAAGATAAATAGGCTTAAACAGAAACAAGTTCAAGTGACAATATTTAAAGAGACAGAAGTTCAAAGCTCACTGTAAGTGGGATGAATCACAGGATAACAATTCAGACAAGGAACAACACACCCAGATGACGACACATAGTGATGGTGTTAAATGCATATGGGGTTCAAGAAATGTCAATGCAGAATTAAATAAGACATGGAATTCTAAAAAAAAAATTAATTCAATAATTCATTGTTTATTTAAAGGTCAACTTTACTTACTTAAAGGGAAAATTATGTTATAACAAGAGTATAAAAGGAGATATTTCAAGCAGACCAAGCTGCACTTTTTGATAATTTTTTTTTTCAAGGCAAGATTTTCGGTCAGTGTTTCACTTTTCAGTCTGTTCCTCACACAAAGCTACTATATGACTTCAATTACAGTGCAAAAGTAGTATTAACTACTTCAATGATGCTTTTGGAGCTTGACAGCCTTTGGTCGCATCTAAATTGTATGGAAGAAAGTAGCGTGAACATACCGCAAAACTTCTCCTTAGGTGTTTCATGGAAGAAAGCAAGCCTTTTAAAGGGGTCATATGATGTAATTTCACATTTTACTTTATCTTTGGAGTGTTACAAGCTGTTCGTGCATAGATAAGATCCCTAAAGTTGCAAAGACTAAAGTCTCAAACCCAAATAGATATTCTTTATAAAAGTTAAGACTTGTAGACGCCCTCCTAAAACACCTCCTTTAAACACGCCACCACATGTCTACGTCACTGTGTGGGAAGATTTGCATAACACCGCCCAAATGTTCATGCAAAGAAAGAAGGTGTAACTTTTATTCTCGCTGTAGTATTGTTGTTGCTGCCGCCACCATGTCGTGGAGACACTGTGTGTTTCGTTGTGAAAGTGAAACTACTTTGTTTGCCCTTCCAAAAGAGGACGATATCCGTTTCGTCATGCCTAGAGCTGATCTGTGCTGGTCGCTGAGGAAATATATCAACTTCGCGCTGTGGATCGCCGGATCGGCTTTCACCGTGGACGAAGTGGAGTCCAGCACGTGGTCGTCACATGTGGTTGCCGCAAGCCCGCCCGCCGCCACTCACTCTAGGCCTCCGGCCTCTGCTCACTCTAGCCGCCGGCCTCTGCTCACTCTAGCCGCCGTGTGTTTCGTTGTGAAAGCGAAACTACTTTGTTTGGTCTTCCGAAAGAGGACGATATCCGCTTCGTCATGCCTAGAGCTGATCCGTGCTAGTTGCTGAGGAAATATATCAACTTCGCGCTGTGGATCGCCAGATCGGCTTTCACCGTGGACGAAGTGGAGTCCAGCTCGGGGGTCATCACATGTCGTTGCCGCAAGCTCGCCGGCTGCTCCTTTGTCGAATCCGCCGGCCGTTCCTCACTCAAGCCCGCCGGCCGCCGCTCACTCTAGCCCGCCGTGCGTGATGCTGTGTGTTTCGTTGTGAAAGCGAAACTACTTCGTTTGGCCTTCCAAAAGAGGACACAACTAGAAATCAGTGGTTAAGCTGTATTTACAACACTGTTCCAGAACAGTTCAACCCAAATATTCAGATGTGTGCAGCGCATTTTATGGAGGACTGTTTCCTGAACCTGCACTGGATAGCTGGCCAATCAGCGTACACCTCACTTTTCAGACCGATGAGCTTTGTAAAAATCGAAACGTTTCAGAAAGCCGGGGCATAGAGGAGAAACAATAATGTACATTATGTGAAAAATAATATGTTTTTTTAGCCTTAAACCGCATAAAAACATTGCATTCCACCAAATACACAACATAATGTTCTTTTTAGCAACGTCATATGACCCCTTTAAAATTGGAATGACATGAATTTCCATTTTTGGATGAACTATCACTTTAAAACCACAGGTGGTACTTCAAGTAAATCATTTAGGGAATAGTGATTTATAATTAAAAAAAAGAGCTGGGATTCCTTGTATTACACAGTGAATGTTCACTTGACACTGAGAAAAATAACCTTTAGCCTAAATTCTGACCTTAACTTAATGTTTACATGGCCTTAAGATTCAGATGTCAATTAAAAGGTCATTACTGTGGAGTCAGGCAGAATTATACATCCCAGCGATATACAAAGATCAATGAAATGACACAAACAATTCTGAACTCCATATGTTGCTGAACAGTGTGTTCCCTGATGAGTATTTTTTGAATGTGTGTGTTTCTGTCTGTGTATCAAAAGTGTTTAAAGAGCCAGACAGGGTGATCCCTGAATGTAGTAGATCATGTAGCTAGTCAAGCTTACAATGGACTACTACAGACAAGATCTACTATCTACACCTGGCTATTACTTCTGAACAAAAGGATTTATTTAGTTTGAGCTACAGTTTAAGCTCACAGTAGCAAACACACCCTCTAATAAATTAAGCACACTACAAGACTGAAGATATTTACCATTTGATTAAAAAAGGTACAAAGGTACTGTAAAGGTACTGTTCACTCTTTTTTATTAATCCATGTCATTCCAAACCTGTATGATTTTCTTTATTCGTTGATAGATTATCACATCTCTCACTGTTTTTTTTTGTTGCCTCAGACAAATTGCTGTCTGATTAAAAGGATTACAAGATACTGCCAAAAATCACTCTGTGGAATCAATTATAAAAATGTACAATTCAGCAAAAAGTCACAATGCATGACAACGATGGACCATTATTTTCATGATCAATTATTAGTGTCACTTATGAAAACTATTTGTGAGTCATTAAAGAGTGCTCTCAAAAATTTGTCATCATTTAATCACCTTCATGTAATTTCAAACCAGTATGAATTACTTCCTTCTACGAAACACAAAATACATTTTGAAGAGTGCTGACGTCTAAGGGTGTGCTTATACTTGTAGTTCAATTCTCTTGGTTCATTTGGTTCAAACCAAAAAAGAAAATACATTGAGTCCTGGTTCACTTAAGGCCAAAGTATACTTCGGTTTTTACGTGTACCCGAGGGTCTGCATACAGTGCGCATGAAGCAAATTTCTTCACCAGTAGGGGTGTAACGATACACGTATTTGTATTGAACCGTTCGGTACGAGGCTTTCGGTTTGGTACACATTACAAACTGAACGATTCGTGTGACTAATCCTATTACATTTGGAAAATAAAAGAGCTTACGGTGTGTGAAATATAATGTTCTCAGTGCCACTGTGCTCAACAAGGCAGCCCAAACGACGTAACAGGCAACGTGATGTCTGCCACACTACTCCAGTAGAGTTGTGACGGTGAGGCAGTTAGTTAGAATTTTCCCTCTTTTCCTCGTTTTATTTGCTTTTTTTCCCTTTAAATAGCTTGTAAATGGCTGTGCGCATTTTAATTTCACTCGAATTAGCGGCATTTATTGAATTGACAACAACAAAACCGCGACACCACTATATCGTATCGAACCGAACCGTGACTTTTGAGAAGCGTTACAGCCCTAGTCACCAGAATAGTACATGCACCACCCGATTTTTGTAACTGCGCATACTTTGTACACGCTAGGGCTGCGGCGATAAATCGATGCAGAATTGATTCGTGGATCGAATCTGAGATCTTCTGAATGTATCGCAATTCTCTCTGGAATCGATTCTGAGCTTAGATTTTAACAGCACATGGCGCTCTAATCTACTTTTTATCCGCACACTCAAATGCTCGTGAAGAAGAGTGCAGAAGAGCGCTTGTGCGTGAGTCATGTAATTTCACCTCGGCTCAGAATGCTTTTATGACGCAAGATTAATGTAAACACAGCCCACTGTGAACACCCTTGTAACTCGCTTCAACCTTTTCGAATTTTATGAATGATTATTTTAGGTTCAAGTGTGTGTAAGGATTTGGAAACAAGCAGAGTACGGCTGTTTCTTAAGCATGCAGTGCCATCTGCTGTTCAAAACTAAGCTCAGAATCGACTCCAGAAAGAATCGCGATGCATTCGGAAAATCTCAGAAGCGATGCTGAATCCTTTCTTGATTCGTGATGCATCGATTTATTTTCCCAGCCCTAGTATGTGCAGGTTGCACATGTATATTGACTCGATTTTGCACTAATAAGCTGTTCCATAAGGTGGCAGCACTGTACCGGGCCGTTGTTTCACAGTAGATAACAAAACTAAAGAGACGGACGAACAGCAACAACACCAAAATAGCAACAACAAAATAACAAGTTGGGTCATACATCCTCAGGGCTCCAGACAAAATAAATCAATTAAGGAGCCATTGGCTCCTATAAGAAACAAAATTCGGCACTAAATTATTTTTTAGTTGCCATAGAATAAACATGTTTAATTTTTTTTAACACAGTTATACTGTCATGTGTTATACATCTTTTCTTGTATTTATCAGCATTTTAATCCATCTTGTAGATGGATTAAGGTAACAGAGCACAAAGTTTATTGTGATTATTGGACGGCAAGTGCGTTACAAATAATATGAAGTTCACGCATTAACTGAACACTAACCGCTGCTGTTCGGGCAGAGATGAGGACTGTTTTTCTATTAAAACTTTGATGCGCAGTTTATAACATCAAAATAACAAAAGATGTGATCGCAAAACAATGGCAAAAAGGCATTACATGCCTATTTATATAGTCACCAGTGGCAATCTCAGCAAAAACTGCATTTGCAAATTAATATTTTTGGTTGCAAATGCAACCGTTTTAAGCGCAGTCTGGAGCCCTGAGTTCTGGAGAAAAATAGAGCAGACGCTGGACAAAGATGGACCGCCCTGCGTTCGCATACGTCAAATGTACTATACTTTGAAAGGCTACGCGTTCGGCTGTGTGCATATACTAGCATACGCGTAAAAAAAGTATACTTGGGCCTTTAGTGTTCACACTGTGATTTTTAACACCAAATCTAACGATACAAAACAAAAGCATAAGGATACAGTCATAAACTGATAGGACAGCTTTTATGACATATATTAGCAAACATCCAAAACAATGCTGTGTGCTGGGCTAAATGCACTTTTTGTCCATACTATATAGTGGTATTTTTACCAGCTTATAATTCATGAAGAGCTTCTAAAATGTGTAAAGAAGTCAAACAACGGCAGAGTTTACACTTATTCAAATGATCCGTGCTAACAGAGTAATCGCACCAGAGTTTGTTTTAATCAAACCAAATCTTCCAACTGTAAACATGTTCTAAAATAACACTGGGCCCCATTGAAAAAAATACGAGACAAAACATCTCTTATAGTAGCACAGAAGAAATAAAATCATACAGATTTGGAACAACAGGGGGGTGAGTAAATGATGATAATTTTTATTTTAAGGTGAACTGTTCCTTTAAATGTGTGCAGAGCGAATTCTGTCTTGTAGTGTTTGTTTGCTATTAAACTCAGAGGCCCTGGGACTATTTTTTAATGAAGGGCCCACATCGCCAGGTACAATAATTCACAATACCACAGAGCAGTGGTCCTCAACCAGGGGGCCCCAGCAAATTCCCAGGGGAAATTAATTTCTAGAAGATTTTTGTAAAAAATTATTAAAATTATTTTTGAAAAATTACTGTAATATGTTCCTTGAGGTTAATTTATAATGTTAATAGAGTATATAGCAAAAAACAAACAAACACATATGCACGTAAAGGATTGTTTTTTATACTCTCGTTCTGGCCCTCTGTCTGAAATGATCCATTTTTAAAGGGGTCATATGATGCTTTTTTAAAGATAATTATTTTGTGTATTTGGTGTAACAGAATATGTTGACATGCTTTAATGTTCAAAAAACACATTATTTTTCAAATACTGTACATTATTGTAGGTTATCTATGCACAATCAGCTTGTAACACTCCAATGAGAAAGGAAAACTTGAAATTGCATCATATGACCCCTTTAAGGAGTGGCTCTTTTAAGGTTTGTTAGTAAAACAGCTACTGGCTAATGTCACTGCATGAGAATAAGTATCAGCATCCCCTCACTATTGCATGTAAGTGTTTTTTTTAAATATTATCAATTTTTTAAAAAAAAATCACCATTTACAGACAGAGCATTATGAAATTTTACATTTATTGTTTGTGATGTAGCTAATTTCTCATGACATGAATCCTTAAAAATTACTTCAATTCAGGAACGAGAACTGGAAATGTTGTCACGGGCCCCAAAACCATACCTGTCAACATTTGGGAGTCAAAAGTAACTATTTTTGTATTATATTATAGGCTATTATATTATTTTTATATTAATTTAAACATTTATTTTCATTTTTTGAAAACAAAAAACAATTATATTCATTTAGTAACATAAATATATCTTAGTGTAGGCTATATCTTTAGAGTTTTATAATTCATCATCTTGTCGATCCATCAGTTCACTTATTGAAAAATGCACATTTATTCTCTGCCAGCAGGTGGCACTTTTCGCCAGGAATATAGCTGTTTCCCCCATAACCGCAGTAAACAAAGCAACGCAGCACCTGACTTTGAAACTTGCAGCAGCGCTCATATTTTATCAATTAAATAGCCTTTTGAAGTGTAAGCTATATCTCAATTTACATGTATATTTAGTAATTCACTGGAGCACCACCTGAGTCGTCTTCTCCAATTTCTACCAGTGATCAGTTTCCTTCCCGCGGTACTAACTGCACACATATCAATAACATCACTGGGCTGTAGGTTGCCAAGTTGAGGGGACAAATGGGTGAAATTTGTATGCGTCGATCGTGTGAAAAAGATGCGTTTCATACAAGATCTGGCAACTGGACAACTTTGGAATTTGTTGTCGTGATTATTCATATAATGAGGTTTGGCCCATACAAATGACGGGAGTTTTACCAGAAGCGAATGTAGCAAACATATAAAATACGCTCAGTGGGATTTTTTTTAATAGAAAGATTAAAAATACGGGAGAAATACGGGAGAATATGTAAACGGGATGATAGCGGGATAGAATGGCAAAATACAGGAGAATCCCGGGAAAAACGGGAGGGCTGACAGGTATGCCCAAAACTGTCAACTATGGCAGTGGTTCCCAACTTTTCTGACTTCAAGGCCATAGGCTGATAAGTACCCCTGGTACGTTTTTGTTTTTATTACAACAGCAGTACCAGGGGTACATATCAGCTTATGGTCTTGAAGTCAAAAAAGTTGGGAACTCCTGCCATAGTGGACAGTTTTGCAGCCCATGACAACATTTTCAGTTCTCGTTCCTGAGAGCATTGGAGTTGTAAACAATCTCTCCGAATAATCGCAATGAACAGGATCAATGTGTTACGTTAGTCTAAGAAAGCTTATGAGGTGTGAGAAAGGAGGCCATGCATTTGCGTACATTACCTGGTGATGGGTAGGACGAGGCCCAGGGGTAAACTGATTGAAGTCAAAGGGCGGCATGTCAGAGGCGGAGAAACAGAGAGAAAGAAAGGAGCGAGAGGGTAAAAATGATTACCCACAAACACATAAACCACAAGCTGTGCATGGTATATGCAGCACACTTCCCGAGAGGAAGTAATGAAGCAAGGTATATGTACCATATACACGGCACCAATTAATGACCACAAACCACACCATAAACAACATCATAGCGCTCAGCAGAAAGGAAGCATTTCTAACAGAAGTCTGATTTGAAAAGATGACATGGAATCACAGGCACTCACCGGGCGGCTCTGAGGCTGTGCGTTCATTGGCTGGGTTGGCGGTGAGTAGACCAGAGGGGTCGTGCCGGCATTCTGCCCCGGTGTGTACGGAGACTGCAGAGTCACGGGGTCCGAGAGAAGTCAAGTAGAGACCAACAGAGAAAGAGAAACAGCAGTTAGGATGGATGTGACTTTTACCCTCTCTGATAAAATCCCTACAGCTGAGTGAGCGTGTGCTGTGTGAGTGTGGGTGACAGAGTGAGTGTGTCCACTCCCTGCCGCTGCAAACACTGCGGTCTGCTGACACTGACAAATCTGCCATCTCTCAACGCTGCCTTCAAGGCAGAGAAAGGGAGAGAGAAATAGAGGCGTAGTCCTGTGCAGACGTGAGTGGGCGCAAACGGAGTGTTTGTGTGCCACTGGATTTGGGATATATTGAACTATACAGGATGACCATGGCCGGACTTACCATTGGGCTTGAATGGGCTGCAGCCTAGGGGCCCTGCCTTGTAGGGGGCCCCACCTTAACCCGTTTACATTTGTTTAGTTATGTGCCAGTCAGAAATTATTAGCCGCACTTCAACTGCGCGCACGGGCCAGCCGGGGCTAACAACTTCCAGCTTCCAACTACGACATACAGCATAAACTGGAATTTACGATTTTTAGAGCTCATATAGAATAGAGATCATGTGTGAACAGTAGGGTTGGGTATCGTTAGAAATTTTCCGGTTCCGATTCCGGTTCCAGTTTTGCCTAACGATTCCAGTTCCATTTAAATTAACTTTTTTTTTATTTTTATTTTTTTTATAGTTTTACAATTTTTTATTTTTTTTTAGTTTTACTGTTTTACCTTAATTGAATTTAGTGTTGCTGGAAGGTAGTAAGTAATGTTGAGTAAGGCATGTGCTTCAAAATTTATGTTTTTTACACTATCAATAACATTTTGCTTTTCAAGCAGGAATAAGCTGGTTGGCCAAATAGTCCCAACCAGCTAAGACACTTGTTCATTTCCCTAAATTAATGAAATATTATACTTATAACCATGTATACACACAGTCAGGAGATGGTGTGATGCAATGAGTGGTTTCCACATTTTTTAACATTTAAAATGCATGAAAATATTTTCTATCACTTTGTTTATCACTCTTGAAATGATCTGTACACTAAATAATCTAACCCTCATACTTACATAACAATAGCAGTCTATTTATTTAGTGGTCCAAGTTGAAGTCAGTATGTATATTAATGACAATACAGGACAAATATAATGTAATTTAGTGGCGGCAGGAGCTGCGTGCTGCCAGTACATGTACAGTCAGACAAAACAACGTGTACATTTATCAAAGACGCGAGTGTGCGTACAGTCGTGGGAAACGATGTGTTCGGCAGTTAAAGACGCGGCGCATCTGTGGAGTGCACGTCATGGGAAACAATGTGCTCAGTAATTAAAGAGGCAGGCCGGCACAAGGCCACTTGGTCACGTGTCGCACCAGAACCGTTTTCGGAACCGAAACTTGGAAATTGCTCACGGTTCCGGTTCTTTTCAAAAAACGGAACCAGAACATTCTTACTAATCGGTTCCCAACCCTAGTGAACTGGACCTTTTCAAAAATCCCGGTAAATTTGTTCTGGCAATAATATCATTCTTATGGAGATGATGTGATAACTCTGAGCTGTTTACAAAGCTCCGCTGCTTTTTAATTAGTTTTTTTATGTAAATATGAACTCATGGACTCGAAAGTGATATCAAGAAGTTTTTGGACAAAATGGTGCCGGAGAACTTTAAGCCCTGAGTATTTCATGATGGTAAGTTTAATTTCCTTGATTATAACAATTGCAGTGTTGTTTTTAAAGTTGTAGTCAAGCTATAACGTATTTGATATTTATCATGTATGACTAAAATCTTGCAGGATAAAAAACTAATTCTGAGCAAAAATGTTAAGGGTTTTTTTTCCTTTCTGGTAGCCTACTAGTTCGGAGGTCTCTTTTGGCCCATTTTCAACTGAATAAAAATGAACTGCTTTATTTATTTAGAAGCAGGGTCATGTATTGTAATTTTTTTATTTTATTAATCAAAATACAACGCCCACAATATAATATTCAGTGTAGGGCTGCCGAAACTCCGAACGCGTGCATCTTGAGGGGCGAGCTGAGAAGCTTACTAATGTCTTCATCCATTTGCAACAAAACTTTAAAGTTTAGCTTTTTTTTGCCCAGCCATATTTTTTATTCTATTGTATTTGTCCTTTACTTTTTCATTACTGATAGTTTAAATATTTTCAATAATTTTGAGGAGTTTTTTTTTGTTTTGTTTTTAGCCTACTAATATTAGCTACCCAATAGTATTCTGCCTTGGTATTGAGAATTGTGACATTTCGCTGGTCTTTAAAATGTAGATGACATAGCAACCTTATTTACAGAAAATATATTTTTGATATACAGTGTATCGCTATCTTTAAATAAATCATTCATATAAAGTTTTTGTCATATGGCCCACGCATAACATGTTAAATAATCGTGATTACAATATTGACCAAAATAATCATGATTATGATTTTTGTCATAATCGAGCAGCCCAAATCTCCATCCACCTCTGACATCCATAAACCTCAGCGATTCTTCCTCTGCATTCACATGCATAGGTTTTGATAGAGGAAAGGGTAGATGTGTAATTAAGGTTTAGCCTCTGGAGCACTCTTAGCCTATTAATAGGCGGTTGCACTGGCAGTGTGGGGCAGGCGTGGAGTGGGAATGTGAGTGCTGGTCTCAGACAGATAACAAGCTTGAGAACAGCTGAGCCACCCTGACAGACTTTCTATTCCTGTGGCAGAGTCAGATGGGCACAGTGTGCATGTGCGCGAGTGGCTGTGTGTGAATTTGCGTGACAAAGCGTGAGTTCGGCGGACCTCTACACACCCACGGACACTAGTAATAAGCATACTTAAACAATGACACACACAAAATCTTCCCTGCAGGCTAATTATACCCAGATATGCCAGGTCTCTATCATATATTAACAATACAGACCATTTTAAAGCACACCACAGCAGAGAGAGGAGTCTAGCAAACTGGTATGACTATATGTCAAGCATCTTCTTAGTTTGCCAACTTTATTTAATCATCACAGGAAGACACACTGCTTTCTGTTTGACAGCCAGCACAGCAGGTTCCCAAAGATTATGTAAACTTACAATCCTATCTGCTCAGGTCTCAAACAGATTTTCGCTGAGTGCAAAAAAGTGATCAAATCCGTCTTAACTCAAGCGAACACACTAGGCTTTACACCCTGTCTAAGAAATCAGTGTTATTACAGATCAGAAATGATTTATCACAGAAATCTATTATATATATCACGTATGTCATAGGAAAAAGTTGACATCTGCATCCAGTTATGTGAAATACCTTCCATCTGACCTCTAAAGACCAGTGTGTAATGTATCTGTTAGAAAGACAACCAAACAGTAATGCGCATGTGCTGATTAATTGTGGCAGGCACTAGAGCTGGGAAATAGGTTTTTGACAATATTCATTATACTGTATATCACAGTAGTTATGTATTTGCTTTAAAGGGATTAAATAGTATTTTTTTTAATCAAAGGAACCAGCATTTTGGATCAAATAGCCCCTGAAAAAAATTAAAGTAGATCTAATTTAGCATAATGAAAATGTTTTTCAGACTGTTGATGGCGGTGTGGCCGCTAGGTTAGGGTGGCCCTTGTTGATTTCATGTGCTGTATATGGGGGGCCAGGGGGTCTCTGTACCTGAGAAAAAAAGGGAAAACTGTGTGAACACTGAAGAGTCAGACAAAATAACCATTACTGTTTTTTAAGTCAACATGAAACAATATTAACAAACCCTCTTTGCTTTTGTAACACGAGATGTTGAATATTGTTTTATTTGGTAACGACACGAAATAAAGGGGGGACATTGGGAACTGGTTGAACTGTAAAAACCAGAATGGACCAAGAAGCTAGTTTAGGGAACTAGTTCTCCTACATTGAAGGAGGCTTTGTGACCAGGAAATGGAATATGAAGGTCAAAGTTCACCCTCAAGAACATCACAACATCTCCCAACATCTTGCTAGTTGTAACCTTCTGTAATCTGTATACTAGCAAGTACCACAATTCACTTATTTTGATTTTAAAGGGATAGTTCACCCAAAAATTAAAATTATGTGATTAATTGAACCACTGATGTCACATGGACTATTTTTACGATGCCCTTACTACCTTTCTGGGCCTTGAATGTGGTAGGTCTATGCAGGGTCAGAAAGCTCTAATAAAGTATAATAAAGTAATTGCTTACAGCTCAATTCTGAAATGCCCGAAGCGTGAAAAAAATAACGTGTTTTACGGAGCCACTAAAAGGTTAGCCACTTGCTAGCAGTAGCCTGTTGCATTACAGTACATGAAAGTTCACATACACAGAGTAAGGAGAAATGTCTGATAGGACGATGGTGAATGATTTGCAGATCCTGAGCACCAATGACAAACATCTAATCTTGTCAAATGTGTGGTAATTACTGCCGCTCCATAGTATAGAGTCCTTGTGATCACGAATCTCAAAAGTGAAAGTGAAAGTAAAATGAGAGCGCACAATTGAAAGCGGTTTCAATAGCTGCTCCCTGATATTTACCCAACAATATAATTGCAAGAAAAAGTATTTACATTTTTTTTTATCCTCCCATCTCGTAGGCTATTTATTCCCTTTAGGGTTTCCGTAGTACACTTAATTTCCTTTCCGAACACGGAACTGGGATGCGGCGGATTGCGGGAGAGGGGGCGGGGAGAGAGGAATCACGATGTCAGCTTAACATTGTGATGTCTGTCAGCCATC